AGGGAGTCACAGAGAGGAGAGGGTTCTGGGCAAAGGAAACCGTCCCGGAGAGCAAAGGCACAGTGACTGGAGGGAATGTGTCGTGCATGGGGCACTGAGACATATCAGCAGACACAAAGGGTATGGAAAAGACCAGAGGTGTTAGGAGGCAGAATCAACCAGGACAGCCAGTAACTGAATGTGGAGCTCCCAGGAGAAATTATCAGGATGACTCCTGGATGGGAGTCTGAGGGGCTAAGTGAGTGGAGGCAAGGACAATAATAGGAGAATTGGTTTGAAATGGGAGTGAAGACGATGCACTTCCTTTTCTGAACTCGTTGAGTCTGAAGTTCTCATGATGTACAGGAGCTGAATATCTCATAGGTAGCCTGAAATACTGACCTTGAGCTCAGGCAAGAGGTCTGAGCTGGAGTATGAAACTGAGGTTTACCAGTGGATAGTAGTGAACACTTTGGGTGAGGATGAGTTTTGTTTTGTTTTGTTTTTCCAGGAAAATTTATAAAGAAGGGATAGTCATTAAACATAGACTGCTTTTAAAATATATTGGAGGGGGTGGGTAAGCCATGCAAAGAAGAAAGCAGGGCCTCAAAGGGGGGAGGTTAGGAAAGCCAGGAAAGGCGCAGAACTGAAGTTAGGTAGCAGCTAGTGTCGAATGCAGCACGAGGATCAAATGGATCATTAGATCAAGATGTCCACTGGTCATTCATGCCCCATGGCAAAAAAACAGTTTCCAAAGAATGGTGGGAGTGAAAGCCAGACATGTGGGTTAAAGACGGTGAATGAGGAAGTAGAAGCTGCTTTTTCAAAGCAACATGACTGAACAGTGGGGGAGGGGTGATAGATTATAAATAGCCAGGAGAGGAGGCGAAGCTGCATGACTGACCAAACCAGTTACCAGTTAACAAGGAAGCAGAACAGGCAGAATATCAGGATCAGTAACTCACGGACAGGAACTCCTACTGCTATTAGACCTAATTCTTCATCAGTGGCTTACTGACATACTTTTCTCTGAGTTTACACCAGATCTCAAACCTTGAGAATATGTGCTTTTTCCATTATCATTCATATTCTGTAGTTACTGGTGCTGGGTTATCACATTTTTTGCTGTAACTTTGTTAGTTAATTTATTATTCAATTTTTTACTAATACCTTGTATCTTTCTTTAAATTAGTGGGAAAATAAGGACTCACAAACTCACCAACATTAAAATGCATATTTCAAAATTACTTTTCCAAAGATGCAGTAAATTATGAATGGCTGAGATCCAGCCATGCCTTATACTATTTTCAGATGACACACTAAAATAACATACATAAATCATTTTTAAAACAATCATGATTTTCTTAACCTTCACACTGATTAAACTGATAATTTTACAGTCTCATACCTCAGGGTGAGGGGGTGAGAGGAAATCTCTACTGTAATCTAAAACCCCATAAGAGAGCAAATGTTTGTAAGGCATATAAAAAAGCATAGTAATTGTGACCATTTGTCATAAAAGCTGACATCCTTAAACATTCTCAAACTGTAGGATTTAAATTATACCTATAATCTTAGTTTGGGGTCAGCTGGTTTGAGCTGGGTGATGGCTTTGAACATTTAATTAATCTATATTTTTCATACCTGGGTAATAAAACAAGTTAACAGTTAACAAGGAAACAGAACATGCAGAATATCATAACCAATATGCATTGGCTCCATTTTGTGCCCCCTGATGCAGAAGGTGGTCTTTAAATAATCAACTCAATGACTGTTAAAATATTATAGTTCAGAAAATTGTTGTTCCATATACTTCTTTGTTTACTGTGGCACAATCCAAAAATAAAATTATCGATAATCACAAGATCTTATCACCATTTAGAAGCTTTTGGCAACATTATCAACCAACTAAAGGTTAATAATGTGGGTATTTCTTCCAGTGTACATAGGTATCCAGGGCTTGATTCCTATCAGGGTTTCTATCCCTTTAGAATATAGGAAACTTCCATGACATAAGAAATAACTAAATTCAAAAACTTTGGTAACAAAATCATTCTAAATATCTCTTCTACAAGGTCTGCAAGGAGAAAAGCTGAGTTATTAAAGATGATTAATTATATAAAGATAATTTACTATTAAATAAGTGAATGCCCTTGAACCTTATAATAAAGACTGTCTCTTTATATGAGCCTGGATTTTGGGTCATTATTCCCACAAGTTGAAACTACCTATGGGAAGAGAGGTGTCACTAGAACCATAAGCCACCTACCACAACATCCAACTATTTGTCCCATGTGGAAATTCAATATTTTTTTAATAAATTGGGGGAGGCAAAGGGAAGGGCTCTAGCTAAAATGTTTACAATTGGCTCTTACTTCCCAGTTGAGGATAAGTAGTATATTTTAAAAATGGACCATTGAACTTTCTGTTTCTCACAAGTCCCCCCTTTTTCTTTGTATACCTTTTGGGGGAAATTCAGTATTTGTGGTACAAAATAATCAATGATTTAATGAATTCTGAGACTTTCAATAGAATCTCCACCAAATTAGGTATCATCAATTCCTAATTCAGCAAACTCTGAAATTGTTTCAAGACATTATGTTATCCCAAGCCATCTAAAATATATCTAGTTCACTTGGATAGTGAAGAGAATATGATCTAGGGCTAGAACAACCCAGGTCCCTACCCAAGTCAACCCTCAGCTGCTATGAATGCAAGTGCCTTGCACACATCTTCACAGGCTTCGGTTTCCCTTTCAAAACTTAAATGATAACTGCCATTTCCCAGATGTGACTGTGCATCAGATGAGTCTGAATCACAGTCAGTTAAGGCCAAAAGTAGCACTAGAAACCAGATTTAAGAAGTTAAAAAAAAATGAGGAAACAAAGGCTCCAGAGGTTAATGATTTGCCCAAGATCAAATCATAGAGAGTTGGAAAGCTGAATTGGAAACTATTCATGATAATTAAATAGATTACTGCATTTGTATAGTAATTGTATTAGGCATAAAAAGGTTTTTAGGAAAGAATTACTTTCAATCAATAGAGTGATAAACTCCATTATCATTGGAAAGTGTCCCATTTCTTTAGAGACCTTAGAAATCACCCATTCAAATATCCACCTGTAAAGGATGAGAACATCAGAGCACAGTAACTTCAATGAGAACTGAGATCTCATCTTTTTTTAAATGTCATTTTATATGTAAAAACATTCCATAAATTATAAAAGGCTTTAAAATGTAAGTGGTATAAATAGAAGTTAAGATAAATAATTACTGTGCATAGGTTTTGAAAGATTGCTGTAATTAATTGCTTTGGAATTATGTGGGTTACTGATAATTATGGCCATTTTTTTGCATTATTTATTTTTGGTGTGAGATAATAAAAGAGTAGGATAATAGGCTGTTTTTGTCTAGATCTGAAGATCAGGACTAAGATGATTAATTAGTTTTTGAAGTTGAAAAGGACTTTCTCCTGAAATTTAATGTAGGATTCAGGGCAAAAATACTGTCATTTTACAGTGTAGGTGTCTAAATACAACACTGAGAATTATAGTCTGCCATAAATATTATTGAGAGCTCAAAGGTACATAAAATCTGGTATGACCCTAATCAGATTACCTACTAGCAGTAATAAAACTATAGATGCATTCTAACTTAAGGAAATTGATGACATTTATACCTTGGGAGTATTTTCTATTTATTAAATTAACACATGTCTGTACTGTTGCCAGATTCAAACTGGTTAATTAGAACTTGACCAGATAGCTTCATTTGGAGACTCCTTAGGGTCCCTCCTGTATGCATACTGAATAAACTCCTTTGGCTTCTCTCTGTTGCTTTATCCCAAAATACTTCCCAAGGAGATGCAGTAAATTAAAATGAGAATCAGATATACCTAGAGTCAAATTCTTGCTTTACCATTTACTGGCTGTGCACCCTTGAGCAAGATCCACAGACAGTCCAAATCTCAAGTAACTGAAGAAATACACGCTGAGTCAGGACTCCATATAATGTCTGGTCCCACAATGTAAGACTGGACTATGGGAATGTTGATGTGACTGGTGATGAGAATGGTGACCACAAGGAGAAAGAGAGGAAATCATATACAGGCTCCAAGCTTCTCTGTGTTGCCTTGGCAACATTGATTTTCAGTGGTAAGGAATGCCCCTTAGAAACCTTACAAAGTTTTGAAGACACATTTCAGTCCTATCTACTAGAGTCTAATATAAGCCATTCAATAATACTTCTTCCCCATGATGAAAATGATTAATAAGTATCCCTGACACTAGACGGCCCCTCTTCCTGGAAGAAAATATGTTGGATGCCATTGAATGTGCCATGAAGAGTTCAGAACACACTTGAATCTAATGTATGAAATATGATATGTCAAGAGCTTTGTAATGTTTTGAACAACCAATAAAAAAAAAAAGAATTGCTATGCTCTTCCAGGGTAAAAAAAAAAAAAAGATACCTAATATTTGTGCCTGTTCCTTTTCTTCTAGTAACCCTAAGGTATTTGAAAGCATGAAACAGTATGGTGAGTATGTGTTTGTGTATGTATGTATATATGTTAAAATAGTCCTCCAAAATTCTTAAGCAGGCTATTTAGTCACCTATGCTCAGTTTAAATTCTAGAACCTTCAATTGCTTAGGGAATCATTCCTCCCTACCCCCGCCCCCCACAAACCACATTTTCCCACACAATTAAGGACAAAAATAATTATAGGAAGCTCTGTTCAGAATGAAGGGGAAATGTAATTAAAAATTATTCAATTTCTCTTCTATGGTAGGAAGAACTAAATCACTTTTGTAAACCTACCAAAGAACATAAAAACTTTGAAGTTTCACTTTATGTGCCATTTAAATATTTGCCCATTACACATATGATCGCATCTCACGTAAACATGACCTCTTTCCAATCATGTACAAAAAAGTGATTATTTCCAATGACAGGTACATCCAATGTGATCTAAAAACAGTTTGCTTCCCTGTAGATGTCTGCGTGTGTACATGAAACTTACTGAGCCCAGGTCGATGATGAAGCAGTCGCCCTTGTTGAAACTGTTCCAGCTGAGGGGAACTTCTGTGGCCCTGACCACTCTCCGGCCCTTCACGTGCAGGAGCCTCTCCGCTGACAGGTCGTTGGTAAGAACATGATTTAGTCCAGATGCCACACCTCCAGCCTGATCAGTGGGAGGAAGACACAACACAAAACAGAGAAAAGTGGTGAGGCTGCTAACTAGTCAGGGCAAGGCATAAGACCACTGGTGTTTGTGCCCACCTGTGCCTGAAGGACCAGGAGAAAATAGCCAGGTAAGTCCATGTAAAGAGTTAAATAGGGAGAGAGTTCCTTGGTAAATCAACAGGTTTGTTTGTTGGTTTGCTCTGTTTGTTCTTCCTGTTTTAGAAACTCTATTTAAAAACCACAAGTATTTACTGAGAACCTTCAGGGAAGAAAACCCCAGATGCATTAACTAAAAGAAAGGGTGGTAGTTCTTGTCCCTCAGGAATGAGTGATTCCCAAATCATTAATCAGTGAAAAGGCAAAATAATAATAATAATAATAATAATAATAATAATAATAATAATAATACTTTTTAAAGAAGAAGGCAACAGAAGGCTGGAAAAGTCAGAGGGAACAGGCACAGATGACAGCAGCAGAGAACAAGCACCCCACATTAGGACATAGTTGCAGTCAGGACAGAGAAGGGGAGTAGGATCTGGCCAGGGATCTGCTTCTATGCAGAGAGCATCTTTGTTTTTATGTTAAAATATCAAAGATCTTCTTCATTTTCTGGCAAAGAAAGCTTATCCAATATGCTAAGACTGAATATTTTTACCTTAAGTTAAGAGAGATATACTATCTGATTGCACATCCCCAACCAAAACAAAACAACAGGACACCACTGGATTTGGGAGATGCTAAAGAAAAAACTTATACTGTATCAACTACATCTTCTTGCATTATTCACAATCATCTTTTCATTTACCTTTTTATTTTTTAATTAAATGTTAGGAACCATATTTACTTCCAGAATTGATTATGAAGTAATGTGCATAATTAAGAGGCATCATAAACAATAGATTACAGACTTCCCACAATGGTCAGAAAAATTGGCTATATTAAGTAATATATAGAAGAGTCTAATTTTCAAATTTATCATATAAACATATACAGTAAATGCAAAATAAGGGACTAAGTTGCATATGTAGTCACTGGCACATTCTTTAAATTTACATATACTTTAAATTTCTACCATTCTCTAAGAATAGGCCCTTATAAATAGAAACGTTTTATTGGAATAGGTTAAATGTTGAGTCAGGGCAATTATAACCTCAAATTTTTTTAAAAAATAATAATATCCTAGTCCCTAATTTTGCAAGATTGTAACATTTCTTGACTGAATAAATTGTTATGTAACAAAATAAATACAAGTTTTCACCTACACATTATTGTTTATGGCCATTTTGGTTTTTTAAATAAGTAAAATTCATTGTGATCTGAATTTAAAAAATAGAAAAGAATACATGATCTGAAAAAAATGTTATAAAATATAGAGCAGATTTAGACTGAGGATACACCCATAATATTCAGGCTACACTCAGGGTGAATCATAAGTGATGTGTAATCTAAAAATTTGCTATTATTTTTAAAAATAATCTTGTCTCTAATATTTAATGCTACAAAGGCACAAAGGAAAAAATCATGCGCGCTCTCTCTCTCTCTCTCTCTCTCTCTCTATATATATATATATATATATATATATATGTCAGATAGTAATTCCATGAATACTGTTTGAATTAATGCTAGAAACTTCCAATCCTTTTCTGCCTTCATGAGTCAAAATTAAAGCAGAGTGGATGACCCTCCATATCAGTGGTACCATAAACACAGGTTTGCCAGCTGACAGATGTCTGATGGTCCCTGTTTACCATCATAGCTGACAGTGGCATCTTGCTGAGCTTGAGAAAAGTATGTTAATCAGAAATTTAATAAAAGGGAGCAGTGGTAAGTAATAGGCCTCTATAACACGTTCCCAGGCTCCCAAAAGACCTCAGCAAGAAATGACACAAGTCAACAAAATGAGACGGGAAGATGATCTTAGCATTTTCTAACTCAATTTACATTGCATATAGCAACTTCATATGATTTCTGTAGCCTAGGTAATGGCAGACTTTTCAAGTTTTATCCAGTCCAAATAAACAATAAACTTTTCCAGAAGGTAATCTTCAATTAAAAGTTTTTCCTGGCATATGAATCATTGGCTTATTTTGAGAGCATCCTAGTATAATGATTACTAGCTTTTAAGCACTGAAGTCACATGGTCACACAGGCACACACTAGCTACAAAACTTTGGTAAGCCTCTTTGAGCTTTGCTTTATCTTAAAAGGGAAGTTATAATAGAAACTGTATCATATAATTTATATTAAATTAGACAATATACAAAAAGTGATTGACCTATTCCTGTAGCTTGCAACTAATAATGGGATGAAATTCAGCGTGACATAACCATCTTCTAGGTGGTTATCTCTGCTTCCACATTTCCTATCAAGTATTGCTGCAACTGCATATATTCCACATGTACAATGTCACCACTGATAAAATAGTCAACTGCTTTTCTTGCTGATAAATTTGACCTCCATTTGCAGACATCCTCTTTCTGAAAAATGTTAATCTGTGGTGGCTTGAATTATTAGAAGCTAAGTATCCTATAACTATAAAGTTACTTTTATTAGGTCTACTTTTGAATATATATCCAGAAGTTTTATTTTCCAATGTCAATGGCCAATAGGACTAATAATGTCCTAAATCTTTATTGATTATGTATTGTTTAGATGTTTTATTATTTAATTTAATCTTTAATCCTTACAACACCTGGATGAGGAAGCTGTTATTATGCCCATTGTACATTCAAGGGAATCTAAGACAGAAACCTTAAGTGTTTGCCCTAAGGCAAACAAGTCTTTTGGAAGAAATGGGTTCACAACTAAGACAATGCTACAGCACCTGCTCTTAGTAACTACAAGTCCTTGCTTATTTCAAAAGTTGGGTTCATTAACATGATGAAAGTTTCAGAATCATTTGACATAAACTAGAGGAACTCATATGAGTTAAATAAAATAGATGTAATAGTCTCACTTTTGGAGTCATTTTGAAATAATGATTTCAAAAGAGATAAAAGAACTTACAAATAGGTAAAGAAGAACTCAAACTATCACTATTTGCTGATGACATGATTCTATATCTAGAAGATCCAAAAATTCCAATAGAAAACTTCTAGAACTAATAAATGAATTCATCAAAGTAGCAGGATATAAAATCAACACCCATAAATCAAATGCATTCCTATATATCAGCGATGAATCCACTGAAAGAGAAATTAGGAAAACTACCCCATTCACAATAGCCTCAAAAATAAAATACCTACGAATCCATCTAACAAAAGAGGTGAAAGAACTCTACAATGAAAACTACAGAACACTAAAGAAAGAAATTAAAGAAAACCTCAGAAGATGGAAAGATCTCTTATGCTCCTGGATAGGCAGAATGAATATTGTCAAAATGGCCACACTACCAAAAACACTATACAAATTTAATGCAATTCCTAATAAAATCTAAAATCCCAATGACATTCTTCATAGAATTAGAAAAGGCAATCATAAAATTTATTTGGAAAATAAGAGACCCAGGATAGCCAAAGCAATCCTTAGCAAGAAAAGTGAAGCAGGAGGCATCACAATATCAGACCTTAAACTATACTACAGAGCTATAGTAACAAAAATAGCATGGTATTGGCACCAAAATAGACTTGTTGACCAATGGTACAGAATAGAGGACACAGAGAAAAATCCACATAAATATGGTAATGTCATACTAGACAAAGGTGCCAAAAACATTCACTGGAGAAAAGATAACCTATTCAACAAATAATGCTGGCAAAACTGGAAATCCATATGTAGCAAAATGACATTAACCCTCTATATCTCACCCTGCACAAAAATCAACTCAAAGTGGATCAAAGACTTAGGTACCAGAACCTGTACCTAACAGAAGAAAAAGTAGGCCCAAATTTTCACCATGTCGACCTAGGATCTGACTTCCTTAGCAAGACTCCTAAAGTGCAAGAAGTAAAATCAAGAATCAATAAATAGGATGGATTCAAATCAAAAAGCTTTTTTCCCAGCAAAGGAAACAATAATGTGAGGAGAGAGCCTACAGATCAGGAGAAAATCTTTACCACATACACCTCCAATAAAGCATTAATCTCTAGGATATATAAAGAACTCAAAAAACTTAACGCCAGAAAACAAATAACCCAATCAATAAATGGGCTTAAGGAACTGAAAAGACACTTCACAGAAGAAAAAACGCAAAGGATCAACAAATATATGAACAAGTGTTCAACATCCCTAACAATTAGAGAAATGCAAATCAAAACTACTCTAAGATTTTATCTCACTCCTGTCAGAATGGCAACTATCAAGAATACCAGCAATAATAAATGTTGGCAAGGATGTGGGAAAAAAAAGTACATTCATACATTGCTGGTGGAACTACAAATTGGTGCAACCACTATAGAAAGTAGTATGAAGATCCCTCAGAAAACTTGGAATGGAAACACTACAACCAAGCTATCCCACTCCTCGGTTTATACCCAAAGGACTTAAAATTAGCATAAGATAGTAACACAGCCATGTCAATGTTTATAGCAGCTCAATTCACAATAGCTAAACTATGGAACCAACCTGGGTGTCCCTCAACAGATTAATGGATAAAGAAACTGTGGTATATATACACAATGGATTATTACTCAGCTTTAAAGAAGAATGAAATTATGGCATTTGCTGGTAAATGGATGGAGTTGGAGAATATCATGCTAAGCAAAATAAGCCAATCCCAAAGCTCCAAAGGCCGAATGTTTTCTCTAATATGCAGATGCTAATTACAATAAGGTGGGGGTGGGCACTAAAGAAGAATAGCATTACCTTAGATTAGGTGGAGGGAAATGAAGGGAGGGGAGGGGAGGGGATGGGATGTGGGGATAGGAAAGATAGTAGAATGAAACAGACGTTATTACTGTATATATATATATATATGCATGACCAATATAATTCTACAACATGTACACTCAGAAAAATGAGAAATTATATCCCATCTATGTATAATATATCAGAGTACATAAATGCATTCTTCTGTCACGTATAACTAATTAAAACAGATAAAAAAAATATAATCCAAAAAAAGAGATAAAAGAACTTATAATTGTTTTTTTTTTTTACTCATTTCAATGGTATCACAAATATTCAACAGGCTTTGATCAAGTAAAGGTAAAAATTAACCTGGCATCTTAATATGCAGATTAATATATATTCAAATATCCAGTTTAGCTCTGAGGTTTCAGGTCTTCACCAGGGGGATATTCTCAGTGGTGGGCAATAATGGGGTATACAAAGCACCTGGTGGACCAGATATTTTTTATGAAAAGATTTATGTCTGGGAAGGGTTTTATGCTTTGAATATGAAGTGTCCTCCAAAGACTCATATGTTAAAGGATTGTTCCCCAATGTACCAATGTTGCAGGGGGCCTTTGGAAAGTGATTGGATCATGTAGGCTCTGACCCCATCCATGGATTAAACCACTGATGGATTAATAATTTGTGGTATTATGGGAAGTGGTGGAAATTTTAGGAGATGGGACCTAGTTGTAAGAAGCAGATCACCAGGGCCAGGTCCTAGAAGGGTGTCTCTTGTCCCCAGCTCTTTCAACATTCTCTCTCTTCCCTGACACCCCTCTGCTTTCTGGCAGCCATGAGCTGGGCAGCTGTCTTTGTATCCCCTACAAAGCAATGAATGGACTGAAAACTCTTAAACTGTGAGCTAAAATAAATCTTTCCTCCTCTAAGTTGTTTTTCATGGGTATTTAGTCACAATAAAGGAAAAGCTGACGGATACAGAGGATACTTCTCATACTTTAACTGAACAGGCATTTATAGAAGAAATAGGAAAATGGGGAAGTGTAACTAGTCTGTAAAGGTCACTGGGAAATTTTCAGGAAAAACCCATAGTGAAGGGGACAGAACTATTTATCGATTTTTGTTTGCTTCAGAAATAATGCAAACTGATATTTCAAGCCAATACATATACATTATTGGGTTCATGTGTGAGCATGTGTATCTGAGTCTGTGTGGCTAACCTCAGATATTTTCAGCTCAGTGGTTTCATTTTTATATCTAAGATTGAACCACAACACTGGGGGAATATGTGTGTCATTCTTTGCAGTAACTGAAATTATAATTGCTATAAATACTGTATGAGGTGTTCCAGAACAATTCAGGTTCTGAAGACTTGGATTACTTGCACCAAATTCAGAGATTCTCCAGAAGAGTAAAAATGAAAACTGCTAGGATGCAAGTTACCAATATTTAAATATTGAAATAACTTTACAAAATATTAAAGGGCTCTCTTGTCAAGATGCAATCAAAAGACCTCCTTAAAAATTAACCTCTCAAAATAAATTTAGTCCATTCCACAAGCATTTACTGAGCACCTACTATGTGTCTGTCAGATAGTAGGACTATATCAGTGAACAAAAGAGATTAAAACAAAATAAAAACAAAAAACCCTGCTCACAATGAACTTTCATTTCATGAGGACATGAGGTATGCATGAATAGGAGGAGAAACTGAAACTGTCTTAAAGGAAATTGTCTGAGAGAGGTGCTTACCTTATACTTCAGACCTCCTTTGAAATAGCCAACAAAATCAGTAGACTCGTAGCCTTGCAATTCTCTGCTCTGTACTGGCTTGCCCCCCAAATAGTCATCCATCTGCACAGTGAAGATGGCAGCTGCTGTGCTCTCATCCTGCGAGCACTCCTTTCCTGGAAGCAGCAAATGACAGCATCTCAATTATCATGCAAGGAAAAGCATTACAGCAGACTTTTTTCCTTTTCTTCTTTTCTTTTCTTTCTTTCTTTCTTTTTTTTTTTTTTTTGATTGAACCTAGGGGTGCTTTACTAGTGAACATACCCAGCCCTTTTTATTTTTGATTTGGAGACAGAGGCTCCATAAGTTGCTGAGGCTGGGCTTGAACTTTTGTCCTTCCATCCTTAGCCTCCCAAGTTGTTGGCATTGCAGGTGTGTGCTACCACATGCAGCTATGACAAACTTTCTTCCAGTTGTATGTCAATGCAACAGTCATCTGCAGAAAGATCTTTAAGTAGATACATTAACTACAAACTTAATTTTGCTCCTGCTTTTTTCCAATGCCTTTGAATAATTTTAAAAGAAACACTGCCATCTGAGTATATTGAGAAAATACAACAATATACTCCAATAAGATTTAAGAAAGCATTCTTTTGGTACAGTCAAGAAGATCTTGCTAGGAAAACATTCTGCAATTTATTTAGCCCTTAATAGCAACAAACTCCAGGCTTCCAATAGGTCAATATGTTAATTGTGAAGAATATGAACATCATGGGAAATAATGAAATAACTTCGGGAAATAGAGTGGTTTTTAAAACAAGAAAAAAAATGAAAGTAACTGGACTTTACACCTATTTTTGAGTCTGTGACCCCATTTCACTATCTTGTTACTTCTGTTTGTATGAAGTAATCAATCTCTGAAGGAAAAGACAGAGTAAAGGATGTTGCATGCTAACATTTATTAAATGTTCATGTACTTGATATTGTCCCAGAAATTTAGCAAAAATGTACACATAAGTTTCTCTAATACTGAGCCCATCCAGGCAACCTCACTGAGATCAAAATGAAAATTTCTAAGAGTCAATGCCTGCAGTGTATTTACTGGTCAGGGCCAAGACAATCTCAAGAAGAATACAAATTCTATTTTTTAAAAAACACTTCAAAACACTTACATATGAGTTGTATGAAAATCATAAGTGATTATAGAAATAATAACTAAATTGATGTATTTATAGTATCCTTACTATAGGACAGGCACTGTATTACCATCTAACATAAATGATCTTCAACCCATTGTCTGCTACGTTTCAAGGGAGGAAATGTAGGCTTAGAGAGGTTGAGTAACTTTTGTGAGGTCACAAAGTGATCTTTGGCAGAAGAGGACCCAGAGAGTTTTGTGTACCCAAAGCACAGGCTATTAGGAAGTACATCAGGGGATATGTTTCCTCACAGGGTCAACACTGCAGCATATAGCACAGGTAATGACTTTCTCAATAAGACTAAAGCTCAAGAAATAATGCCAAGAGTTAATATATGGGAAGGCACCAAGTTAAAAAGCTTCTTCACAGCAAAGGAAACAAGAATGTGAAGAAAGATCTTACAGAAGGAGAGAAAAATCTTTGCTAGTTCCTCTGTGGCAGAGGATTAATATACAAAATATATAAAGAACTCAAAAAACGTATGACCAAAAAGAAAATAAGTAACCCAATTAGTAAATGGGCAAATGAACTAAACAGATACTTTTCAAAAGAAGAAATACAAATCACCAACAAATATATGAAAAAAATTTCAACATCATTAGCAATTAGGGAAATGTAAATCAAAACTACACTGAGATTTCATCTCACCCTAGTCAAAATGGCAGTCATCACGAATACAAACTATAATAAATGCTGGAGAGGACGTGGAGAAACACTGTTGGCTGAATTGTAAACTAGTACGACCACAATAGAAATCAGTATGGAGGTTCCTCAAAAGACTAGGAATGGAACCACCATGTGACCCAGCTATACCACTCCTCAGTATTTATCCTAAAGAATTAAAGCCATCATACTGTAATGATACATGCATACCCAGGTTTATAGCAGCACAATTCACAATGGCCAAACTATGGAACCAGCCTAGGTGTCCATCAACAGAAAAATGGATAAAGAAAATGTGGTATATATACACAATGGAGTTTTATTCAGCCATAAAGGAAAATGAGATTATGTCATTTGCAGGAAAATAGATGGAACTTAAGACCAATATGCTAAGCAAAATAAGTCAAACTCAGAAGGTCAAAGGTCATATGTTTTCTCTCATAAATGGAAGCTAGAGAGGAAAAGGGAAAAGAAAGGTGGGAGGGATCACATGAAAACCAAAGGGAGATCAGCTGAATAGAGGAAAGGGACCAGAGAGGGATGAGAAAAGAGAAAAGGATAACACTGGGGAATGACATTGGCCAAATTATACTGTTATATTGTGCACATGTACAAATATGTAACAACCATTTCAACTATGCACCAGTAAAAAATGTAGGGGAAAAAAAAAGATATGTTTTTTTACATTCTGATTCTCATTAAGTAGTAAAATTTTGTGGTGACTAGCATATATTAATTTCTCCCATGGATAACCAATGCATAAAAATTTAGAAGCCTCCACAATATAATAGTTCAACTGATCACCTCAGTTGAAAGTATTCACCAAAACTGAAAAAAAGGAAATCAGTCAGCTATTTAAAATAGAAAGAAACAATTTCTTTACAATTCCCCCTCTCAAGCTTGAAGTCAACCTGTGTAGTAGGATATTCTCAAGAAAAAAAAAATCAGCAGCTAGAAGAGTACTTGACATTAACATTTTGTGAATGGTCTGTGGTCAAACGTAAATATTTGATACACATAAAAAAACAAGTAGGGCTGGGATTGGGGCTCAGTGGTAGAGTGCTCACCTAGCATGCTTGAGGCACTGGATTCGATCCTCAACACCACATAAAGATACATACATAAAGGTATTATGTCCATCTACAACTAAAAAATATCTTTAAAACACACACACACACACACACACACACACACACGTAGTTTCCCAACTCGGAGAATAATAATAAAGATATACATTAGATTTTGTACACAGATGCTTTAAGAAAGAAACTTAAAATTAAATATCCAAGATGCTAAGGATGATATACTCAGCATAAATATTCTTACCTGACTACAAGTTGAAACCCGAATCTCTTTCGGTAGATGTAAATGGACAGGCATGATGTTAATGAATGAACAGGAAATTAGTTAATTAAATTATGTTCTCATTTGCTGATGTTTATATAGTGTGCTAAACCAGGGAAAATCACTATGAATAAGCCAGAATTCTTTCCTGAAAGAGGTTGAATAGTCTTAACAAAGCCAATATCAGTCTTTGAATGTGAAAACTGGCATAAATTCTATTACCATGAAATCCTAGCAAGTGTTCAGAAACAGGAATTTTGTGTATGAATTCTGCTTATAACTTCAATTGATTTTTCCCTTGTGAATTCTACTTATGACTTCATTTTTTTTCCTTAAACTGGTTTACTTATGTATGTTATGTTGTGTTACATTACTTTTTATGTTTTGATACATTATTTATATATGTAGTAAACTCTAAAATTTGTTCGGGGGGAATGTGATCATTTTATAAATAAAACAGACTAAATAAAAGAGAGGTTTAAAAACTAGGTTAATACAACATTCATGATTTTTTAAAAAAATGCATGCCGTATTAGGAACAGGTGAGAACATACTCAACATGATAAATAACACCTACAAAAGACATAAAGCTGATACAGTACTTAAATGCCTTCCTCACAAAATCAAGAACAAGGCAAGGATGTCCACTCTCACCACTCTTATTCACAGGAAATTCTAACCACAAAATAAGGTAAGGAAAAGAACCAAAAGATATAGGAATTGGAAACAAAGAAATTTAAAAATGTCTTATATAGAAACAAAATGACTGTTTACACAATAAATTCTAAGGAATCTGAAGAAGTCCTCCTGGAATAATAAGTGCATTCAGCAAGATAGAAGAATACAATGTAAGTCAAAAACAAAAGTCAGTCACATTTCTATATAGAAACAATGAAAATTAATAAACTGAAATATAAAACATAATGCCACTTACAATTAATTACTCCAAAGAAACTACAGTATGCAAACCTATTCAACAAAAATGTAGGGGAACTGTATGTGAAAAATGTTTAAATGGTGGTAAAAAAAAAAATCAATGAGGACCTAAACAAATGTAAAGCCATAGACTGGAAGGCTCAATGTAATAAAGATGTCCATTCTCCCAGAATTAATCTACAGACTTAATGCTATCTTCACCAAAATCACAGTAATGTTTATGATAACATATATAAACATTATAAAAGGTTTTTTGGAAGGCTGGAGTTGTGGCTCAGTGGTAGAGTACTTGCCTATTGTGTGTGAGGCACTAGGTTCAATTCTCAGCACCACATATAAATAAATAAAATAAAATAAAGGTTCAATAACTGGTAAAAAAAAAAAGCTTTTTAAAAAATTTCCATTTATATGGAAAGGGAGTGGCCCTGGCATACTAAAATAACCTCAACAAAGAAGCCTACCTAAGGCAGGAGGAAGTAATTATTCATGAGGAATCACTCTACCAGGATTAAGGTCTACCATCAGCTGCAGTAATGAATACAGTATGGTATTGGTAAACAGGCTGTTGCCCCTAATAGTAACATTTTGTAAAACTGTAGAATGGTTTAGTTTCTATAGTATACTGAAGTATTAAGTGTATGAGTACAGTACTGCACAGAATATCACAACTAAGAAATTCATGTTTATATAATCCACCAATTATTTTATTTCCCCAGTTTTACTTGCATTCACTGATGTGTTTGTGTGCATTTAGCTCTACATAACTTTATCACATATGAAATTCATATAGCTGCCTCACAGTCAGGATCCCATAGAGTTCAGTTATGAAAAGATACCTCGTGCTGCCCCTTAATTACTCCATCCATCTCTTGCCTGCATCACCCCCTCCCTACTCTATCTCTAACCTCTGGTAACAGCAAATCTAAAATTTTCTCATTTCAGAATGTTTTATACAGGGACTCATGTAAGATAGAACCTTTCTGCATTTTTTAAAAATAGCATAATTCCCTGGAGATTCATCAGAGTTGCTGTGTATATCAGTAGTTTATTCCTCCAACCTAGGTATCTGTCAACAGATGAATGGATAAAGAAAATGTGGTATGTAGACCACACATGGAGCTTTACTCAGTCATAAAGAAGAATGAAATGATGTCATTTGCAGGAAAATGGATAGAATTGGAAAACATCATGCAAAGTGAATTAAGCCAGCCTCAGAAAGTCAAGGATTGAATGTTTTCTTTCATACGAGGAATCGAGAGACAGAGAGAGAGAGAGAGAGAGAGAGAGAGAGAGAGAGAGAGAGAGAGAGAGAGAAATACAAAGAAAGAAAGAAAAAAAGAAAGAAAGAAAGAAAGAAATACAAAAAGTGGGGAAGAATCTCACAAAAATAGAAGGGAGACAAATAGAGCAGAGACAGAGAGGAGAGGAGCACAGAAGAAAGTATTGAGGAATGAAATCTACCAAATTATACTATGTCTGCATATTCTAATAAATATACCACAATGAATCCTCTTCGTATATACCCACATGTAATCATAATGCACTAATTAAAATAACAATAATAGAAGGGAGATCAGTAGATTAAAGCAAGTGGATGGTGGAGGGAGAATGGGAAGGTACTGGGAAATCAGATTGATCCGATTATGTTATGTGCATGTACAATTATGGCATAATGAATCCCCCTATTATGTATAATTATAATGTTCCAACAAAAATTTTTGAAATAATTTATTCCTTTTTATTGGTATAGATATATCACAACTTGTCTAACCAATTACCTATTGAAGGTCTGGCTGATTCCAGTTTTTGGCTATTCAAATAAAATAAAGCTGCTATAGGTATTCTTTTTTTTTTCTTTTTGCTCTGGGCATTCATGTATAGGTTTTTGCATGAAAATAAATTTTCACCACCCCCCCAATAAATGCTCATGAATGCAACTGCTGGGTCATGTGGTAGTTGCTTGTTTTGTTGAGAAACTGCCAAACTCTTTTCCAGAGTGCTATACCACTTTCTTTTACCACCCCTTTTTTATTGTATAAGTTCTATGTATTGCATATTGCAATCCAATCCTTTTCATTCCCATTGCTTTGCACAAGGCCTAGCACAGACTAGTTATAAGACAAGTGTATGTTACTTTGAAATATATTTAAGTGAAGTTTAAAACCGGACTTTCAATAGGTAATTGGTTAAACAAGTTGTAATATATCTATACCAATAAAAGGAACAAGTTATTTCAAAAATTTTTGTTGGTACATTATAATTATACATAATAGTGGGATTCATTATGCCATAATTGTATATGCACATAACATAATCTGACTAATCTGATGTAAGGAGAAAAGGTGATGGTAAGTATGAGTACCACAGGTTGAGGATGTGACAGGGGGCAGCTTTACCACCAAGCCTTGCTCATTGACTTGTTGTCACAAGGGACTGGACACAAAAGGTGGATGCACCTGCTAGGTCCAAAGTTGAAATGTTTAAGAAAGACTAATACAAAAATTTGTAAGTTGCATGCAACAATTTCTTACTTTCCTTTAAGCATATAATGGTAATACAAGGTGGTACGTGAAATACCTGAGATGCTATGGTGTTATGGAAACACTGAGAGACACCTGGAAGAATGCCCCTCCCTCTGTCCTCCGTCATGTTAGGTCTCACTTCTTTTTTTTTTTTTTTTTAAAGAGAGAGTGAGAGAGGAGAGAGAGAGATAGAGAGAATTTTTAATATTTATTTTTTAGTTCTCGGCGGACACAACATCTTTGTTGGTATGTGGTGCTGAGGATCGAACCCGGGCCGCACGCATGCCAGGCGAGCGCGCTACCGCTTGAGCCACATCCCCAGCCCAGGTCTCACTTCTTGCTTTCCCTTTTCTTCCACCTACTTGACCTGTTTCTCATCGATAACCTGTGTGCCTTTTCCATCCTCATTTGTCTTCTTTTCCTTCCAATTGATTTCCCAATTTCCTTTAATCACACCTTCTTTTTCTCTGAACTTTCAGCTCACCCACCTGGAGCTTTCTCTTGGTTTGTCTCTCTGATCAGTCCTCAAGAATTTACCTGAATTTATCTTAATTTAGGTCTTAGACTGTTAGGTGGGTGCAGTTTCCTTAGTATTAGGGGAAAAGCTGCTGGAAAATTCCCTCTGACGGTCTTGTTGCATACTTTAAGCTTTTCTACCTCCCCACAATTTTCTCTTGGCAAAAAGAGAGAGGGAAAGGGAGAAATGGCACACATGTGCACAGCAAGAACTCTGCCACAAAGCTACTTCCTCAGCCCTTTTTTTAAATTTTATTTTTGAGACAGGGTCTCACTAAATTCCCCATGCTTGAATTTGGGATCCTCCTGCCTCAGCCTACTGAGTAGCTGGTATTACAGGCATGTGCCATCACAGAGGGCTTCTATTATGAAACTAAATGCATGACTGAGAGTCAAATCCTACAAAATGGAAGTGGTTAAGGAAGGGAATATTTGGATAAGAAAGGAATTAAAACCTTGTGCTCAAAACCCACCTGCCAACTTCTGACAAAGCCAAACTTAACTGCCATGCACAGCAAGATGTGGAGTTCTTTTGCATTTTAATTCACCCAGATGTAAATGTGGCATTTCAGACACAGAATCATTCCAGATCCCAGAGCCAAGTTCTGGATGCAAAGACCACGGTGAGGACATCATTCATTCATGAATAAAGATTATATATCAAAGTTTCTGCATTTTCTGGTGTAAAATACAGATAGACCACTATGCAGTATAACATTATAACAGGAATAGCAACATCACAATGGGGAACCAAATGTATTTGGAACTCAGACTCAGCCTCCTCAACCACCTCAAGCAAGACTCCAATGCCCAGTGCAGTAATTGAAAGTGCATTCTTCCTCAGTGGAGTTCTCATTTCCCTAGTGCCTGCTCCACTAGGGAAATGTTCAGAAAGTCACTTCTCAATGTTTTATATTTGTTTCTTAAGACATTCAGATGTTAGAAATAGAAATGTTGGCTTTCAGAGACTTACAAACATGTACATGTGTGGTTTTGTGCATTTTCTCAAGCTCAAGAGTAAACCTAAAACTAAAGAAACACAAGTTCAAGGGGGACTAGGTAGTTTTTTAGAGGGCAAAAAAATCTCAAATAATTAGCATGTTGTTAGACAGGGTGTGCCCACTGGCACAAGACCTCACAAGGAGAGAGGCTGGATGTTTACAAGTCAAAGTAGAAGGTAGAAAAAGTAGAACACACAAGGCCCAGTGTCCTGAAAGTTTGGCATGAATGTAGCCCAAAATAATTACTATTGCTAAAGCAGCGATTCTATTCCACACTACATCCTTGTTATAAAAGACCAATAATAAATTAATAAGGACAAAGCAGTCCATCTAAATAAACAGCCATTTAGAAGCTGTTTTTTTCATAAAGCTATATGTATTTATATAGATAATATCAGTATATTTTTTCCCCAAACATGAAGCAGTGTTGTTCAGGGAGAATCTTGATTTAAAGTGGCCCCAAAAGACTAATCCCTTCAAATACTAAACAAATAGAAAGCTGATGCCCAAAGGCAACATACAAAAATAATTCACTTAAAAAAAAAAAAAAAAAAGTCTTGCCAGCTGCTGCTGATACCTACTTGCTTGACTTCATCTCCACCCTGACAGGGAAACCAGGACTGGACTTGTTGAAGGTGAGCAGGACTTGGCCAGCCTGAGTGTGCGCAGAGGCAGCGCCCCTGGGGTGTTGTGGGGTTTAGAGATTGGAAGGTGAAAAGCCCGGGAACTGGCTTGACAAAGGTCAAAGCCAGCGGGGTAAATCTACTCCTGACTTCGTCTGCACCCCGATTTGCAGTCGACCAGGAGTTGACTTCAGCCAGGAGAGGGTGACCAGTTTAAAAAAGGGAGGTCCCGCGAGGGCGCGGCTAACACTCCAAGTCTCCAGGCGTTCCCAATTGCGGTCCCCTTTGCCTCCTAGCCTGCCAACCGCAGACTTCTGCATCTGCCCCTCCCCTCCCCGACCTGGGCGCGTTGGGGTCCCGCTGCGAACGCCCCTTACCAAGCCAGAAGTGCAGGCGGTAGGCGAAACCTCGGCTCGCCTTGGCGGTGTGCAGCACCAGGTAGGCATCCCCAACGTAGAAGTCTCCGTAAGCGCTCTGGGGCACCGGCACCAGCTCCAGCTTCTCGATTCTCCAGACCTGCAAACCCTCCTGCTTGCCCGCCCGGGCAAATTCCTGGTGGTACAACTCTTGGGCCATGGTTCTCGAAAGCGATGCTCCCAGAGGTACAGGACCTGGCCTAACCTGGAGTATGACCGAACCGAGACCTGGGGTAGGGACCCTGTTCCCCGAGGCTTTATAGGGCGCGCCCTCTAGGGAGGCGGGGCTCGGACACGGGCGGGGCTCCGTACCCTTGCTGCTCGGGAGATGTTGGTGGCTTCCCAGAGACAGCGCAGCGCAGGCTGCCAATCCCACGCCCTTCACCAGGCGACAAGAAGAATCGGAGTTTCAGAAATCTTGAGATTCGGAAGGAATTTATGCAAACTCCTAGAACGCCTCCTTCAAAAACCTAAATTTTCCCTGACAGCCAATGGGAGAGACAAACGATTAAAGCTGCTTGACACCGTGCACCCCCATTACCAGGGTTCTGCAGTCTTTTCTCCTACTCTCCTGTTAGTTCAGCGTCCCGGATTCGCCCTTAGCCGCAGAAGTGGTGAGATGAGAAAGAGCGCACTAGCTCTTACAGCGTCAAGTCAGCGTTTCCCTAGGAATAGCAGTATTCTCCACTCTTATAACAGGACTTTCTCTGCGGATGGCAGCACCTGCCTTTAGGGAGTATTGGGCCACTTTGGCATTCCCACCTACCCGCTTCTTAATGCATTGATGTGTTAAAATTCCTAAGCATCATTCCATCATTTTATTGACTGGTCTCTCCGTTTCTGATGGCCCATCATTTCGTTGACTGGTCTCTCCGTTTCTCTCTGTCTTGATCTTCCCAGTTTGAAAACACCATACAAAACAGCATGTCAGGTTTCTTGGAAAGGATAAAACCTGAAGAACTGGCTGTGTACTCAGGGGACAGAGCTCTGCAAATCCCCTGGAGTTTAGGAACTGTGGTTAAGTTCTCTTTCCACCTGGCACCCTTAGCCAAGAAAGTTACTGGTAAAAAACAGCAGCCATCCTCCTGGGATATTCCCAGGCAGGGCTGTTTGTGACTATAATTTTATGCTTGGCCTGCCTTTTGAATTACCTATTACCTGGCTTCAAGGTACTAATTTTCTCCTTGTTTTACTTACTTTTTTTTTTTTTTTTTTTTTTTTTTTTTGCTTTTAAAGCATGACAAAGCACTGTGGAGTACAGATGGAAAATTACTCTGTTTTGCATTCATTTAACAGAACAATGGTATGGCAAAGGTTTCTACTATTACTTACAAAGCAAATCACCAAGTGCATTAAGTGATCAGAAAGCTGATTTTTATGCATGTAAATTTTCTTTGGCTATTTCCCAAATTGTCCCTGGGAGATCCCTAATAATCTTAACAATTATATTTATTCCTTAAGCAATTTATGTTTTTTAAATTTAATTTTATTTTTTTTATTAGCTACACATGACATTACAATGATCTTGGCAATTCATACATTTGAATCATTGGGGTATAATTTCTCATTTTTCTAATTGTACAGATTGCAGAATCACACTGGTCATAGAGTCACCTATATACATACAGCAATCAGCAATTTATGTTTTAAAATATATATTAAAAGGAAAGTGACCACAACACTTGGAGTGACCAATAGATCTTTATTGCAGCAGTGCAAAAGAGGAGAAAAAGAGAGAGAGAGAGAGGAGAGGAGAGAGTGAGAATGAAAGCAAGAGAAGAAAGAGAGAGCAAGAGAGAGTGAAAGCAAGAGAGAGTGAAAGCAAGAGAAGGAGACAGAGAGAACAAGAGCAAGAGAGAGGGGCCCAGCAGGAGGGAGTTTTTATAGCCCAAATCTAATGGGGTCTCTGGGTCTACAAGCTGCCTTGTTGGCGTACAGTGACTGGATCATACAATAGTTGCTAAGGATGTCATCTTCTGCCTTCAGGCAGATGGGGCAGGGGTCAGATGTGGGTTTCTGTTGCACCAGACTGGTGGGGGTTGAGTGTTCAGCCTTGAGTGGGGTTGAGTGTTCAGACTTGACGCAAACAGGTGATAAAGGACCAGACAGAGGGGGGTTTGAGTGTGTGGGTTATCCTGCAGCTAACATTCGTTCAGCCTGCCTGCAGATAACTTAGTTCACCCTGTCCTTCACCTAACATGTATTATATGACTATGTTTTAAAAAATCAGTAGTACAAAATGTGTGCAATAAAAACTTTTCTGCATTTTATCCTGCCACCCATTTACTTTTCTTAATGGCAACTAAGCTACCAGTTTATCACATATTTTTCATCAAAAACAATATGTATAATATAGTTTTTTAATTTTAATCAGAAATGGTAGTATAAACACTGTTTTGGATATGTGTGTGTGTGTTACATAGTACTTTTACAACTATTTTTACTGACCACATGATAGTCCATCTAACAAATGTACCATAATTTATTTAGTGTAAGTTCATAAGCATTTAAATTGTGTCTTTATTTTGCTAATACAATGTTTCAATGTGCATTTTTATAACTGAAATAAGTGCTTAGAAATGTAATTGCTAAAGAGGTTGGAATTAAATTCTTTTGATGATGGTGATAATCACTATGAAACCAATAACCATCATTTGCTAATCTTCAGCAGTGATAGGCTATGGCACAAGTTACCTGGATTCAATTCCTGCATCCATCCTTGGTTCTTAGGCTTTCTGCATATCACTAAACAATGGCAAGCCTTGAGTTTCTCTTCTACAAAATGGAACTATAATAGTATCCAACTTATAAAATTGTAATTTGGGTTTAATGAGTTGACACAAATAAAGCATTTGTGTCTGTTATATAGAAAATCTTTAGTAATTAGGAGCTCTTCTTAAGTGGTTATGACCTTCCCATTGCTTCTCTAGATCCCTTCTCCAGTCTCCCTCAAGACTGACCTGAATGGCTAACACAGTAAGACGATGATGTTCTCTACACGACAGTTCCGTCAGAGACCATACAGAGAAAGGAGATTAAGGTCAGAATATATCCCTGTCCATTTTGTGTTACTATAACTCAGTAATACAGGAAGAAAGCAAATTTATTTCTTATAGTTCTGAAGGCTAGGATGTCCAAGGTCAAGGGACCTACTTCTGGCAAGGGCCTTCTTGATGCATCATCCATGGCAGAAGAGAGACGAGCAAGAATCATGGAGAGCAAGCAAGAGATAGAACTTGCAGCCTCAAGCCCTTTTATCAGCATTAATCCATTCACAAGGACAGAGCCTTCTGGCCTAATCACATCTCAAATTTCCCACCTAATGCTGCATAGGACATTAGGTTTCCAACACATGCTTCTTAGGGGGTACATTCAAATCAGAGCAGAGTATTTATTTCCTTACTTCCTCCACCAAAATTCACTTTTCCTTTTCTTCTTCTTCTTCTCCTTCCTCCCCTCTCTCTCCTTCCTTCTCCTTCTCCTTCTCCTTCTTCTTCGTACTAAGGATTGAACTCAGGGGCTCTCTACCACTGAGCCATACCCCCAGCCTTTTTCTTTTGAGACAGGGTCTCACTAAATTGTGGGAGGCTGACCTAGAATTTGTGATCCTCCTGCCAAGTCACTGGGATTACAGACATGAACTGTCTTGCCAGCTCACTATTTCTAGGCAAACAATTATATGTGACTTTTTCTCTTCCTTTGGCTGATAGTAATTATCTCATATGCTCCCTTTTGGTTTTTCTTTTCTCTGTATACATTTAGCTTCTTTAAAGAACAAAAACAAAACAAACTCCAGGAATTTTCCTATTTTTTACACATTGTCTGTTAATAGGTTGATAAGCTTTATTAGCTACATTTTTTTTTCTTCTAACCAAAACGATGAGTGTTGTGGGTATAATAAGCTTCTTTATACAGATGAGAAAACTGAGACTTTCAAATTGTCACAGGTTACCCAGCTGAATAACCAAAGACAAATTCAAACCCACTCTCAAATTCCAAGGTGTTTGCTCTTTACAAAAACTTATTCTCAGCTGGGCATGGTAGCTTATGCCTGTAATTCCAGTGGCTCAGGAAGCTGAAGCAGGAGGATCGCAAGTTCTAGGCCAGCCTCAGCAACTTAGCAAGGCCCTAAGAAATTTAACAAAATCCTGTCTCAAATTTACAAAATTTTAAAGAGGTCTGTGGTTGTGGCTTAGTGGTAAAGTGCCCCTGGGTTCCATCCCTGGTACCAAAAACAAACAAAAACCTTGACTCTCTCAATCCAAGTTGGTTGGCCAAGCTTTCTTCACTTAAGTGAACTTCATACTTTCATTTTCTTCCAACTAGTAGATAGAGAACCTTCTGATCTAGTGTGTCCCATGCAGCACTAAGAAATTTTGTTTTATCGTGTCACTGAGCTATTCTGTCTTGGTTTCCTTATCTGTGGAGTGAAATCATTTGTTCTCTCCCTCTTTAGGGGAAAAAAATAAAAGAACTGATGCTCTGAATTGAAGATAATTTAAAAATCAGATTTATCATTTAAATTCAGCTTCATTTTAGTGAAAATTTCTTTCTAAAAAAAATGAGAAGGAACTTTTACATAGGTGAAAGTAAAATTCTTTCTTGCTAGGGCTGGGACTAGGGCAAGGCCAGTGAGACACGTGCTTGGGAGGCAAAATTTAAGAAGTCACGCATACCAAAATACCCCTCCGCAATCAAAAAATACCATTTTAAAGCATTATTTTTAAAATCAATTTTAATGCAAAAAGCAATGATAAAAATGGTATTTCAATTCAAGGTAGTATTGTTTCCAGGGCCATATTAGAGTCTGAGGAAAAGAAAATACATTGATCCTGACTTGACTTAGCATTTTTTTAAATAAACATAGCATTGATGTACTATTCATCTGGATCACTGTTTTTTGTTTTGCCATCCCTTACATTCTGTACCCAAGGCAAGTGCCTTACTCTCCTGACCCTGGTCCTGTCCTGGCTACCTGAACTCCAGACTCAAACTTCCAACCTCCTTCTAGATGTAACTACCAAATCCATCTTGTCAAAGTCAAGTTCATCATTTCCTCCAAACCACTTCTCTTTTTTTAAAAACTTCATTAGTAGCATCATTTAATCTTGACCCATCACTCTGACTTTATCTCCACATTTGATCCACAGGGCTCTCCAAAATCTCCTGAGGATTGCAATTTCTGAGGTCCGTTCCTGGTTGCCCACTCTTTTACTTCTACCCTAGATTCCCATCTTCAACAAACATGCCGTGAAAGTGGAGTTTAGTTTACAGCATGGCTTTGATCTATATTAAATCTTTGATCTTTCATTCTTCAGCTGATTGAGTTTAGGCAAATTACTTAACATTGT